AGATTTCAGCATCTCAGTGAGCTCAAACAGCACATGACAGTTTACCGATATAATTAATATTATCCTGACATTATAACTAGAAAGCACTCAGGGAATGATGGGCCAGGAACATAAGCAATCAGGGAGGGAAATAACTCTATTTCAGAGAAAAACAGCCTTAGAATCACAATGTAGAAAGGGGAGGAGTTAAGACCAGTAGAGGTGGCATCTCAAGCCTCTCACTCAAGTAGACTATTACTTTTTGCCTCTCATTGTTGTAACTATGTGTTGGTAGTAGTTTAAATAACCCGGCAAAGTTGCCCAGCCAGTTTAGGCTAGTTGGGTCAAAACAGAGACAGGGTCCCCTAAAGGGTTCTTAGCCATATTTATAAGAGAATTTAAGAATGGGCCCAGCTGGAAACTTACCGTTTCATTAGAATGTTAAAGGAAAAAAAATCCCCAGGGCAGTTGCCTGGAGGGGGTGAATAGCGGGAAGGAAAAAAAAGCCTTGGGGTCATGAAGGTTTAAAGCCTGCATGGGAGGTCAGGTACAAGGCAGGCTGACAGGCATAGGGCAGGGAGTAGAAAGCTTTTGTATGGGAGGGGGAGGGAGAGGAGAAGGATCTAGAGCATTTGTTTGTGATGGATTGAAGGATATCAGAAATCCTGAGTAAAGTGAGGAAGAAAGGCAGTGCAAGAGGACAAGGACAGGAAAAAAGGATGGAAGACAGCAGGCCTCCCAGGCCCATGGCAAAGGGGAGGGGGCAAGATGCCGGTGGTGAGCAGCAGGCAGGGGAACCAAGGTAGTGAACAGATGAAGCAGTTCCATCGCGGAGACCACAGTGCTGTCCGGGAGTGATGAAAATCAGTGGGAAAGGAGATCAAAAGAAGACACAGGCAAGGCAGAGTGTTCCCCAGTGAGGAGAGCCAGAAAGAGGTGTAAGCAAAGCAGAGGGCTGGGGAACGGAGGAAAGAGAGAAAAGAAGTGTACCTGGAAGCCAAGTTAGTGGCATTGGAGAAGTCCAGGTGGGTCTCTTGAAGTAAGAACTGGGTTTTGACACCATCTGATAGGTAAAAAGTAGCTGGAGAACAAACGGATACAGTTGATCAGGAAAAAGCACCAGCACGCAGATAAAACTCCATCAGAATAGAGTTTATTAGCAAAGGAACACATGGGACAGATTCCCTTCCTGGCAGGGAAAATGTCTGCCCCAGGTCTTGAGCTGGAGTCTTTTAAAGGGGGGAGTCTTCTGCTTCCTGCAGAAGGTAGGAAAATGTATTTTTTTTAAAGTTTGGCATGGTGTGTGGGGGGACTGTTAACACTTGTCCTCTTTAGAGATCAAAGGGGAAGCCTGCTGTGTTGGCCAAACAGTGGAGAAAAGTCTGCTTCTCTGGACTTCAAAGACCAAGGTACTTATCAGCTCAGTTGTATGCATGCAGGAGCTTGAGAAGTCCCTGAGATCCTGTTGCTGAGGGGGTGGGGCTATCTGAACCTTAACAGTTGGGAGATAAAGAGTATAAAGAGTACATCTGAGCATTACTGGATATAGTATCACACGATGCCACGTTTCAACAGTGCCTGATTAGTCACGGGCTGACCCTTAACATCTATTTTCACCAAGGGTTCTGAGGACTTACTCCTTCAGATTTCTCCTAAGCTGTGCCCTTGAACAGAAGAAAAGGCTGCCTTCCTTTGTGATGAATCTGTTCATTCAGCATGAAGTGGGGAGGTAGAATCAGACAAGGAGTTTTCTCTTTCTGATCTCTACTGACATAGAACTGCACACACAAACACAACTAGATGTTATCAGTCTAATCCCACTAATTGTTTGCAACAGAAATGGAATAATTCTCCTTGCAAATATTTCAATATCTGCTGTTTGCAGTATGGTTAAAAGCACTGACTGTTTAGTTTTGAAGCACCCACATAGTAGCCAATAGTGTCCAGAGCTGCAGGCTTTGCATAAATGTGGTGCACTTAACATGTAGGTAAAACACTCAAACACATGTAATAATAAATTTTCAAAAAATACAAGATTTAACGTTTTGGTTACAAGGTTCAGGGAAAGTCATTTGTCCAGAGCATGTTTATTCCCATTTGTCAGCATCATCCCACACATGGAATTCTTGCAGAACTGATTTTAACATATGTGATAGGACCTTATTGAAGTGAGAACACTCAGCATTTATTCATCACCTCCATTGTTCCTGGAATGTTAGAGCCATCCTGGGAGGAAGGTGTTATTTTAACTTGAAGTGGAGAGATTGAGATTCATCAGCTTTCAGTGCCAGCCTAGGCCATCTAGCTACCAAGCAGAGTTTGCTTTTTTTTTTAACATATGAAAGTCATGCATTGTCTAGTGCGCTGATCCATGTTACCTAGAGTTGGGAACTAAGAAATCTCCGTAAGAAGATGCATCAGTGAACAATGTGCCTAGCCTGCCTGTTTATCTAGATCTATAACTGATTTTTTTTTCATCCTCTCTGTTAAGAGGAAAAGGTTCTTCCCTTCAAACACATGATCCTTTTTATGTAATTATTTTTAGCTATGTCTCTGCCCACCTCACCCTGTTTCCTTACTAGCTGTTTCTCATGAGAAGGAGCCAGTCCCTGTCCAAAGTCATTACCATCTGTATTAGTTAATAACTGCTGCATAACAAACCACTCCAAAACATGAAGTAAATGGACTAGTTATTTAACTTACCATTCTATGGTTCAACAGATTGGGTGTTGGGCTCATCTGGACCTGGTTTTGCATCTGTGTTCAGCTAAACAGCTTTGCTTCTGGGGATTGGCTGGCCAGTGACCAGGATCATGGGATGACTAGAGCATGGGCAAACTGACCCAGACTTACCCACATGATCACCTGAGGGGAGACAGAAGCCTGCCTAGGCTTTCAGTTCATGTCCTGTCCCTCCCTCTGCTTTCTGTCATTCAAAGTGTGTTGGGAGAGGGTAGCACAGAAGTACACACACAACAGGACACCACTGACTCGTGGAAGTCTTCCTTGTCACTAATTCAGATGAACACTTTGAGACCATAGTCCTGTCACTTTGGGTAAATTATGTGCCTGTGTTCTGGGCTCACTCACTCTCTGTATACGGCATCCATGGCAGGTGTTTCTTGACTCTTTGGTGGCACTTGAGCTCTTGGAAAACGAGGAGTATTATTTTCAGTGTTTTTCAATGTAGGATTTGGCACATAGATAAATTTTGCAAGCCTGTGAAAATAGTTTAGAAAGTTTACATGAGTGAGTTAGAGTGAACTGTGGTATATGCTTACAATCTTAACAGCCTCTTGTTGGCATTTTGAACGTTTCTTCTAAAAAGAATGGAAGAGGTAAAGAGAGTTGGCCAGGAGTTTGATTAAAATGACTTAATGTTCACATGCTATTTTTGTGGGGTTTTCATCACATTACAAACTATAGTTTTATCTGCGTGTGTGTGTGTGTGTGTGTATGCATGTTTATGTGTGTGAGTTCGGACACGTGTGCCAGGGCATGCATGTGGAGGTCAGAGGACAACCTCCAGTTTGGTCTTCGCCTTCTACCTTGAGACAGATACACTTTCATTGTTGGCAGCTGTGAGCACTAGGCTAGCTGGGATTCTCCTGTCTGCACCTCCTATCATGGCACCTGGAGTCCAGATGTGCTGCGGCACCTAGGCTTGTGTCGGTTCTCCAGAGCTGAACTTTGGTGCTCACGCTTGTGCAGCTTATGCTTCACTCAAGCAATCATCTCCCTAACCCTTGTTTATTTGGTTTCTTTAGTGTGTGTGCGCACAAGTATGTGTGATGATATGGGGGGTGCATTCCACAGTGTGCCTGTGTGTGTGTGCACGACTATGTGTAATGATATGGGGGTACATTCCACAGTGCACCTGTGTGTGTGTGCACAAGTATGTATAATGATATAGGGGTACATTCCACAGTGCGCCTGTGTGTGTGTGTATGCACGAATGTGTGTAATGATATGGGGGTGCATGCCACAGTGTGTCTGTGAAGGTGAGAGGACATTTTGTGAGGTTGGTTCTCCTTCCACCATTATGTGGATCTAGGTCTCAAGTTGCTAGGCTTGCCCTATAAAATTTTTTTAATAAAGAAGACATGTTATAAGTTCATGATATGTTAGTCAGGCAAAGCATACCGTTCCTTTAGCTGGTCCACTGGTATGGAATTTCAGTTTTAGAGGTGAAATGAAGAAAAAGATACTAAAAATGAATGTTTCTACTGGAGTAAGGAGTCGGGTGTACCATGTGAGCACATCTGTTTTAGTTTTTGATTTGTTTTTATTTTTTATTTTATTTTTTTCAGGCCAGAGATTCGAAAGTAGCTCTTTATTAGTCATGGCTAACGATACATCAAGATATCAGCCACAGTGGTCATAGAAAGACCTGGCTAGGCCTGAGGAGCCTCTTCATAGTTCCTTCACTTGATGTGGCAGGAGACCTGTCACAGATCTCAGCTCCTTACATGTGTGGCTTTCTTTGAGTCATGTGGCAACCAGTTTCTCCCAAGGTATATAGTCACACGTGGAGGTAGGATCCAGGATCTCAGGCGGTCCCCTGAGCTCGCAGTCCCTGTGCCAGAGGGAGGCCAGAACAGCCACTCTGGCAGTCTGCTGAGATCTCTGATTTGTTTTTATTTTATGTGTATGAGTGTTATGCCTGCATGGGTGCAAGTGCACCTCTGTTGTGCAGTGCCTGTGGAGGACAGAAGAGGGCATCGGATCCCTGAGAGATTTGTTTTTATTTTATGTGTATGAGTGTTATGCCTGCATGGGTGCAAGTGCACCTCTGTTGTGCAGTGCCTGTGGAGGACAGAAGAGGGCATCGGATCCCCTAGAACTGGACTTAAGGACTGTTTTTAGCTGCCATGTGGGTGCTGGGATTTGAGCTTGGATATTCTGCAAGAACAGCCAGTACTCATAACTGCTGAGCCATCCCCACGGAGGTCATCTTAAGGTGAGAGTCTTACCAGCATACTAATTCTAAATCTGAATTCTACCTACTTTGTGCATTTCAGCTACAGCTGTTGGTATTTCTGGATTCCTGAAACCAGACCACAGTCCCCATCTGTGTTCCTAATTTCCAGTCATGCAGCGGAGATCGAGAGGGGTCAATCTTGGGCTCCTTATGCTCCTGTCTCAAATCTTCCATGTCGGGATCAACAATATTCCGCCTGTCACCTTGGCAACCTTGGGTCTCAACGTCTGGTTCTTCCTGAATCCTTGGAAGCCCCTGTATCATTCCTGCCTCAGTGTGGAGGAGTGCTACCAGCGGAAAGACTGGCAGCGGCTGCTGCTCTCTCCTTTTCACCATGCTGACGAATGGCATTTGTACTTCAACATGGTGTCCATGCTCTGGAAAGGAATAAATCTGGAGAGAAGACTGGGAAGTAGATGGTTTGCCTATGTTGTCACCACATTCTCCCTCCTCACTGGGGTGGTGTATTTGCTCTTGCAGTTTGCTTTTGCTGAGTTTATGGATGAACCCGACATCAAAAGGAACTGTGCAGTAGGCTTCTCAGGTAGGCAGACCCTGTTCTGAGGTAGTTTGTGGGCAGTGAGGGAAGCCGACTGTGTGATACCCTAGCTGTAAGAGGAGGACAGAATCCTGAGTGGTGAGGGGCTGCTGGGGCCTGCTTCCTGACGAGCACAGTGACTGCAGTATAAGGACATTAGTTTGACTGGTTCACATTCACTTTATTCTTGGTCAGTTAGGACTAGGGCCTGCTAGAAGTTGGTTTTCTAGTACCAGAAACTGCAACTAGCTTCCTCATGGTAGAGCCAAGGAGGGACTCACAGGTGTATTTGTGAAAGAGAGTCCTCAAAAAAGACGAGTACGCCTATGAAGCAGGCCCACTGGGCACTGGTTACCAACTTGTCTGAGTCCAGGGAAGTGCAGTCCAGTCGTGTGCAACAGGTTACACTAAGCAAATGGTAGGCAGCAAGGGACAACCAAAGCCTGGGTTCCTCGTTAGGTGGTCACCCAAGTCACAGAACACTTCCAGGCCAGAGGAGGTCCTGACTGTGCATGTCCCACTTGCAGATGAGGAACCCTAAAGGGCGGCCTCCTTTCCTCCTCAGAGTACCTGAGGGTCACGGAACACTGAGCAAAGCTTCAAAGGGCATGCTGTTCCAGGACTAGAACAGAACCGAGGCTAGCCTGAGCTGCGCCTCCTTTTTCTTAACAGGTGGCACTTTGTATATCCCACAGGTATTCTTAAGAATCATGACGTGAAAGGGGAGCATGGACTTGATCCAGGGTCACCTAGAGAACCATTTTGTATATGCCTCTCAATAACTTCCCTAAAACTGACATCTGACAGCTACCACATGTGCCGGTGTTTAGGAGCCACTGTCCCTCATCCAACTTTGTTCATACAGCAGGTCCATAGGGAGATGGCACCGACTTGGCATTGTGGATGGGAAGCTAAACCTGAAAAGTGGAGTCACTAATCAAGGTTCCAGGGCTTGTAAGCAGTGGTGCCAGGGTCCAGCTGGCCTGCTCAAGCTGCGCGGTGCACAGCTTCTCAGCTTCCTCTGCAGAAGTTCTTTTTACAGAGATTAACGGGACTGAAATTTTCATCAGGATTTAAGTTAGGTGTCCTAAATGTTAGAATGTGAAGGGAAGAAGAATAATCCTGGAACAAGAAATCAAATCTTCCCACTGCTTCCCTCCCAGTCTCCCCACTTTCCTTCCAAAATGTATCCTGTACGGAATTAGGAAGAAATACGCACTGGTTTCGATACGTCTTTTCATAGAGGCTACAAAAATACATGTTACTGGTATTTGTTCATTGTTAAAATTTGTATAGCATAAAGTGAACTGCTCTAAGTGTGCAGTTCACTGGCATTTAATACTGTTGCTGGTACCCTGTTCCCCTGTCAAGTGTTTAGTAGCCGTTTGAACTTCTGTGTTAAGACACATCAAAGGGATGAACCGCTGCCTTGTTGGCAGATGCTGGGCTGGTTGTGAGGAAGACAGTGTGTTTCAAGCAGAAAGTTGGGTGTGATAGCTAACTAATCATTTCTATGTTTAGTTTTCTGTAGCCTATTAATTCTCTCCACATTTGGGTTGTTGATATTTGTGTGTTCTTTATTCCTGTAGGAGTTCTGTTTGCCTTGAAAGTTCTTAACAACCATTACTTCCCTGGAGGCTTCGTCAGTGTTTTGGGCTTTCCTGTACCAAACAGATTTGCTTGTTGGGCGGAACTTGTGGCTATTCATTTCTTCACCCCAGGGTAAGTGTCTGCTCTCAGGGGATGAAAACATAGAACTTGAAGTTCTAGATGGAGCAGGAATTGCAGTGATAACGAGGTAACAAGGTTTTATGTAGTGCAGGCTTGTAGTCCTAGCACTTAGGAAGCTGAGGCAGGTAGACCCCTGAGTTTGAAGCCAGCCTGGATTATAAAGAGACCCTGTTTCAAAAACTAAACCTTAACAAAACACATTACAATGAAATTGTCTTTTTATTATGGAGACAGATTTGAGTCTCTTGGTTTTAATATTAGATGTTCCTGAGTTTGAATCCTGTCAGCTACTGAGCTGTGTGATTTGGGTATATCATTTAGCTGACTTTCAGTTTCCTTACCTTGTAACTAGGAATAAGAGATCGTAATATACAGATTTAAGGATCACTATTAACCTATTAGTGATTAATTCTATCAATTAAATTCCAGTGAGCCACATAGTTATCACATAAAGATTAAAAGCCATGTTAAACCAGAAATTGTCTTGGTAATAAAAACCTTTGCATAAAAAGCTTTACACAGTGAAAGGATGAACTCTCCTGGGTTTGGTGGTGCAGGCCTAGAATCGCAGCACTTGGAACTCTGAAGCTGGAGGATTACAAATTGGAATCTAGCCTGGGCTACATGTTTCAAAAACAAGACAGCGGCAACCACAAAACCCCAAATGAGTGACCTCTGCCCTGTAGGGTTGAGAAGCAGCTTTGGGCCTGATTCCTTTTACTTGGCCTTTGCTCCCTTATTGAAGTGGCTGCCTCCAAGGGCCCTCCTGGAACCCCTGGGACCCCAAGGACTGCCACTGAGACCTGCTCATCCAGATGAGGCCTTTCCTGGACAGATGAGGACATAGAGACAGGAGGTTAAGGGGTGGACCCTAAGCTCAGGACCCAGCAGACCTTAGACTAGTTCTGACTCACCCCCTGCCTCCTGCACTTTACAACACTGGTTCCTTTCTCTGGAGACAAGAGAATGAGTTTGTTTTGTTTTCCACCTCTTCACCAGCTTCACGTCACACAATCTGCACTATGCAACTAGAAATGCACGTGGTGTTTGTTTATTTTTCCTGTGGGAATCTGGACACTGTTTTCAGAGAGGCAGATTTTAAGAAGATTAAGAAAGAAGGAGAATTTTTTTTTTTTCTTCTGGTCTCTCTCCCGAAAGGAGCCTTTATTTTGGTTTTGATTCGTGTGGCTTGTTGGCACTTTACCTCAGTGAGATGCTCTAGTTCTGCTGGCAGTGCAGTAACTGAGTCCTTTAATGCTAGTTCCCCGTTGTGGCCGGCCATTGGCAGCTGCTGTATAAATGGCAGTGATGTGACACCGAACATCATTCATTTATAATTGTATTGTTACCTGTGACAATTCAAGGAAGAAAGCCTAACAAAATCTTCAAAGTTTTCTTTGAAAAAGTGTCCCGTAATAGCTGTCTCTCATCTGAACAGCCTTCTCTATCTTGCCACCCACAGTTCCCTGGGCTTGCTTGCTGGGGCTTGCTCTTCTGTATAGCTAACCTATAGGCCTTGTCTGTGACTGACAACACTCAGTGTTGATAGGAAAATCACTCCCTCTGCTACTTGAACTTTTATCCTATAATGAGTCCACTGAGAAGCAGTACCTTTAATATTCTCATTGCAGCTGCTTCTGAAAAAGCTCATCATGCTTTTACAGGGTCTCCACTTTACATGGAAAAGGGATAGTGACATAATAGGCTTCTTCTGTGTGTAGGGACCTGATGTTCTGAGCTCAGGAATTAAATGAAATTTCCTGTCTTGGAAACTTGAAAGAACAAATCTTTTGATTTTTAAGATTTGACTATTTGAGCCAGGTGTGGTGGTGCACGCCTTTAGTCCCAGCACTCCGGAGGCAGAGGCAGGCAGACCTCTGTGAATTCAAGGCCAGCGTGGTCTACATAATGAGTTCCAGGTCAGCTGGGGCTACAGAACCAGACTCTGTCTCAAAAAGACCCCCCTCCCCCCCGCACACACACACACAAAGAGGGCCTGATAGCACACATCTTTAAGCTCAGCACTCGGGAGGTAGAAGCAGGCAAATCTCTGTGAGTTCAAGGCCAGCTTGGTCTATAT